AAAAAATGCTTGTGTTAAATAGAATAATAAAGATATACCTCTCATGACAAATGGACCGCGCAGCCAAAGTTCGCCGGTCCGGTTCACCGGCAACGACTTCCCGGTGTCCGGGTCGACGATCCTAGCCTCAGTGTTCGGTGAGAGCAGCCCTGCCGTACCATACCGCCGGCTCTCTTCCGCCGAATCCGTCGACGCTCCGATCCCCGTTGATTCCGTTAGACCATACCCCTGCAGAATCTCCACCGTCGGATACTTCTCTTTAAACCCCTCAATCACCTCACGGCTAAGCGGCGCCCCGCCGGAGAGCACTCGCCGCAGTGACCCGAGGGGCAAAGGCTTCTCCGCACTCAACATCGCCACCAGAATCGGCGGCACAATTGGTAAATAGGTCGCGCCGTAAACCCTAATCACCCGCATCATCTCCCCCATTTCAAACTTCGACAAGATCACCACCGTAGATCCCGACCCCAACAGGCCCGTCGCGAACGCCGCCAGGCCGTACACGTGGAACATTGGCACCGTGCAGATGAACGTCTCCGGCGCGCCGTCGCCTTCTAGTTTGAAGCGGTTGAGGATGATCTGAACCATGGCGATCAGGTTCCGATGAGTGGAAACAACCCCTTTGCTCGCCCCCGTTGTTCCAGACGAGTAAAGCAGAGTCGCGGGATCGTCTTGCATAACCGGCTCGGGACGACGAAACTGAATCGGATCGGAAGATATCAGGTCTCGAATGGTGGAAACGATTCGAGAATCATCCTCGGAGATCCGATCCTCTTCGAGAAGAATGATAGGGAAGGAAGTGGCAGCAAGTTTGGAAAGAAGAGGGCGAATGGTGAAGGCGATGACGGGGCGGGAATCGGCGATCTGTTTGGCTATTTCTTGCGGGGTGTTTAGGGGATTGGTGGTGGTGAGGACGGCGCCGAGGGAGAAGACGGCGAGGGAGACGATGGGAAAATAGATGGAGTTGGGTGAGAGGAGGAGTACGACGTCGCCCTTCCGGATGGAGTGGGAAGAAGAGAGGGCTGAGGATAGGGACGCGACGGAGCGCCAGAGGTCGGAGAAGGAGAGACGGCGGCCGGAGGAAGCGTCGATTAGGGCGATGGTGCCGGAGTGGCGGCGGGAGGAGATGAAGGTGGTGACGTCGAGTTGAGTGGAGGTGGGGAGGGGGATGGGTTTGCGCTTGCTGTGGAAGATGGATGTGGAAGGGGAGAAGCCGCTTCGCGGATCGATGGAGGATCTGGAATCGGCAGCCATGGATGTCGTGGATTCACATGGAATATGGGTGGAGGAAGAGATGTCTGAGATTGATCTGGTGATGAGTGACTGATAAGGGTGGCAAAATTGAAATTAACCTGAGCCGCCGAGGAAGACTGTAGAGAATCGGAAGGAAAAGGGAATTTGCATATCGTAATTTCGCACGTGCGAGGAGGTCGAGTATAAAAAATCGGAATTTTTTTTTTTTAGAACGGTGTATCGGCCCGCTGTCATGTCAGCTTGTAATGTGTTTGGCGATGTCCACTAATCCCTTGGTGAGTCTACCAGCAACCAACCTTACAGGTGCATGACCCACAGTTATTTTCTCCCCACTTAAAAGGTCGTGCAGTATGAGAGGGGATTTGACTTGGGATGGGGGGTTTCCAACCAAACACGTCCACCAACCCATCTAAGCTCGGTGGGGTATCGTAAATAAATTCTTAGGCATGAATAGCTTGACATTTCTTGCAGAAAAGCTATCGCAAATGGAGTCTAAAATTTGAGATAATTTTATTATTATTTTTTAAAATAAAAATAATATAAAGCATAGAATGTTTGTATTCGCTGCATAAATTTAAAAAAATCATAACACACATATAACAAAAAAGTGTTTATTCAATACACCCATATGGTGAGTACTCGGCTACTCGCATTATTTGTAAGCCAAAGCTATTAAGGCCAATGTAAATGAAGTTCTTCTGTAAATTTTTGAATTTATTTTGAGAGGGGTGTAATAGAATATTTGAATGATTATCTATATATCATACATGATAAATCTAAAAAAATAGGTAGGATCAACATGAATCAACGGCTAAAAATTTTGTTAATTTTTTTAAAATTAAATTCAAGAACATATGAGCAACAATTTTAACAAATTTATAATCAAACTGAATGTTTCAATGAGATGAACTCAAAAATGTCAAAGGTGGTACAATCCAAGCCTAAATGAGCCCAAATGAGATATATAATTGCAAACTTGAAACATTCATTGGATGGTCATATGATCTCCAAATTTAATATGCTTATAATTGAATCGAGTAGCTCAATGAGATGAATGCAACGAGCCCAAGATCACTCAATTATGACATTATTAAGATATTTAAATGTTGATAAACTCTTCATGATCAAATGAATCAATACGAACCATAAAATGAAGTGTTTTGGATTCTTATTTAAATTATCAAAATGTTAATCCCAACAAGCTTATAAATAGAGTATTATTCTCCACATAAGGGGAGAAGAAATGATGTAGTGGATCGTGAGAAGAAAATCGACCTGCAAGAAGAATTTCGATCCCAATCCAGGGAAGAAGAGGAACAAAAGCTTCAAAGCTTTAAAATGTCATAATATTTTTCAATGAGACATCCTACTACAAAACATACCTATATAAACTAGCTATAGAAGATTCTAGAAAAACTCATAACAAACTAGATAAGATATCCTAAGGAATACTGCAAGCTTAAAATGCTCCGCATCATTCTCCCCTTGCGTTAAAAGGGCTCGACTCCGTTGAGACGTGTTATTGAAAGAGAGGTTGTTGCAGAAGACAAATTCCTGGATCGAAAATTTTGTTCTCAATATTTCCCTCCTATGGAGTGGCCTTTTGGAAGTCCCCAAAACTTTGCAATAATGTCATGTTGAAAGAAGTAAGATCAGCACTTCTTCCAAGGAAATCTGGGAGGACAATCACAAGAGCATTAAGGTATTGCTGAGAGAGGTTTCCTGTTATCACCATTACTCGAATGCCAGCTGCTTTACAGTCCTCAATAGCTTGGTAAACTTCTTCACGTGGAGGATCCCTCAGCCCAACTGTTGACCTCGATTTTCGCTCAAATATCCTCGAGCATCCTCAATCGATTCAATTAGACCTCGTCAAGCCCAATTTGAACTCAGATATGTCCGAATTAATTTAAATTAGACTCGACTTTTAAGATTGATGTCAATTTTGAATTCAATTCGCACGATTAAATTCATAGCACTGGCTCGAACCCGAACTGACTCGAATTGAATCAAAATCGGACTCAAGTCTAACTCAATCTCATCCAAATTTGTCCTGATTCAGCACAATTTAGTTCCACTAAAATCCATCTGGCTTTCTAAATAGTTTGAATCTATTTTCTTGATCCGGAATGGCCTTGACGGTCTTGATCTTTCCGAAATTCGGATTCTGTCGCGGCTGCAAGCTCCTGTCGCACGAGTCCTCAAACGAACAGTGAATTCGAAGAACTTTAGGTAAGAACAGAGCGTCGCAGTGCCGTTTTGAGCTTTTGAACAGAGTAAAGCGTCGAGAGACGTTAGAAGGCGAGGAGGAAGGGTTAGGTTGGCTGATTCTAACGGATGTCCCGGACTCTCCCCCCCTCCTCTGGGCTCGATCTTTCGTTCTCACGCCCTCTCTCTCTCAGACTCTCTCCTGCACTCACGCTCTCTCCCTCTCTGTCGCTCTCGGTCGGCACCGGCAAGAGGAGCCGAAGCCCCTTTGGCGTTGGCGAGCCCCAGCCCTACACCAAGCCTCCTCTTCCTCACGACAACTCACTCTCCCTCTCTCAGGCCAGTTCCGCCCAGCTCTCTCACGTCAACACACACGCTCTCCCTCTCAATCTCTCGGTTCCAAACCCCTGCTCCCCGCTCTCACGCTTTCTCCCGTTCCCAGTCTTCTCCGATTGGTGAATCTGAGAAGAGGCCGAAGCCCCCACTCCCTCTCCCTCGTTTTCTCTCTTGGTTCGCCAAAGACCCGAGACGGACGAACCCCCTCTCTCCGTCTCCTCTGTTCGCATGAAGCCAGGCCGGGATCTCGAGCCGACAGCATCTCCCGACCGACCTCTAGGACCGATCCCGTCACCACATCTGACGCCGATCCGGACGAACGACCCAAGCTTGTCCCCTTGCCTGTCTTTACCGACTGGTCTTCCAAAGGCTACATGTGAGCCCCTCTCCTCTCTCACGCAACCGGCGAAGTGCAAGCTCCCCCTTCCTCACTCGCGTGAGCTAGCCGAGTCCGACGACCGGATTTCGCCTCCACGTCCAAACCCGATGCCTGGACCGTTTCCGAGCCCTTGCAAGGTGAGTACCCCCTTCTTCCTCTCCCTTCCTCTCCTTTTCTTCCCTTACTCCACTCTTCTTCCATATTTCTTCTTCTTCTTTTCTTTCTTTTCTTGTCCTTCCTCTTTCATATTCCTTGGTCTTCATTGAAATGTGATTGGAATGGTTGGATTCCTATTAAGTTGAGCTTGGTACAGCATCCACTACCATTGCTTATTATTTTGTTTTATTATATTTATTTGGATATCAAATGGTGCTTTGGCTCTTGTGAAAGCGATGATGGTTGTTGCTAGCCATAGATAGCTTTGTGTGTTCAAGGATGAGCAAATAGCATGTCTCCTTCTTATTCATGAGCAGATTTATTTCTTATGAACATTCAGTTGTGATTATATTTGGAGAAGTTGGAGTTTATGGATGTGTTCCAATGCTACATATTGTTCTCATATTTTTGTGGGCTTACGACATGATTATAATGAGTTTTCTTTTTTCTGAGATATGAGATAAGTGGCATTGATCTCAAATTGTCGGCTTTAGTTTCTCTTCACTTAAGTATTATAACTTAGCTATATGATAAAATGTCTCAAAGGGGTATTTGTCTTGATTAGGAAGTTTATATGTGAACTTCTCCTTCAATGTTTGTGCATATAACTGATCGTGAGAACTTCTCATCCTTCCTTTCCTTTATGTTAATATGTGAATGCTCTGATCTTGAGAAGTTAAAGCCAAGATTAAGATTTAATACCTTGAGCTACCTATTTTAATATATCATGTTGAATCTGGGATGTTTGCAGTTGTTCCCTTCCATTCCAAAATCTTAGTGAGCTCTTTATGTATTGTGTTGTGGTGAGCTTAACTAAATGTGTAGGTAGATTTTCTTTCCTTTTGTGGCTATGAGGTGACGATGTCTGCTTCAATTTACTTCATAAAAATATGTGGATATTGCATATCTATTGTTTGACGGAATGTTGTGGAAGAAAGGTGATAAGGTTTTATTTGAGTTGAGGCTTTACATTGATCATAATTCGTAAAGCTTGTGGTTGAAATTGAGCTTGATAGGAAGCATGCATTCAGGGTAACATTTTATCATTGTATGGCTTATGGTTGATTGGAGAAATATACATATAAATGTTTTGTTTAGGATTTGTTCTTTAAATGAGTTTTTGGGAAAGCTTTCAGGTGTCTACTTGTGCTCTAAATTGTTTCAGGAACTAGCATACATGAATTTCTTGTAAACTATTTTGGAGAAATGAGTTAGATAGCATTCATATGCTAAGTGAAATTGGAGAGGATTGTGATGTTAGAAAGCATATATTCATATCCTTTTCAAATATGAGCATACATAGACCTTATGTAATATTTCCATGTGATTGAAAGGTTTCCTGAGTTTGATTGGAAGGAAAATGGAGGTATTTTAAAAGTGATCTTTAGTAATTATGATCCATTATGATGAAAATTTGTGTAAAAATAATTTGCTATGTTTCATACTTTTTTTTTTTTTTTTTGGGAAAAAGGAAGTGTTAGTTTGCTTTACATTTAAGGAAGTTTCCCTTAAAATGTATGTATGAGCTGATTGGTAAGGTGGGTGAGTTTCACTTGTCCCATGCTCTGTTAGGACTCATCTGTTGAGTGGTGTGGTATCTTATGGGTGGCATGCATACTTTTGTGATCCGTAACTAGTTGGAGACATGTGTAGTAAGGAAAAGAATTTTTTTTACTATAGATATTGAAAGCAAAGTTTAGCAAACCATGTTAGACCACTTGAGGTATTTTCATGTTTAATCGGAAACATAAATCATGTTAGAAAGCCATGCAAATACCTAAGCATCGACATCACGCTTGTATTCAATATCAAAGTTTTGTGTATTCATTACGAGATTCTTGTGCATGCTTATATCATAGAATCACATGTGTGGTTGGAGAATTTGTTATGCTTGTCAAGCTTATATAGAAATTGTCATGCTTCAATGTCGTATCCATGTATTTAGTGAGAAAGGTGATGGCTTTATTATGTTCTAATAGTTACATGTTCGTTGTCAAGGGCTTGCGAATTATTTGCTTTTTCTAGAACCACGAGCAAGTTGGGGATTTATTATAGATTATTGCATTCTCTTGTTAAAATAGTGGAAAAGGCACTATATGCATGATTACAAGTTTCTCTCCTTTTATGTTGTTCATTCTCTGAAGTTTACATATGGATATTTAAATATGTTCTCTTCATGCAAATTTTCATGTTAGTATCATCCTTATGAAAGGTTAGAAAATGTCTTGTGGAAAGATCTTGTTGCTTCACGTAGAGAAAGTTATTTCTCTTTTCTTCATATGATCTGACATGGGTAATAAGTTATTGGCAAATAGTGTTAGACTTTTTCTTATTTATGGCTCAGTCTTGATATTATTCATAAAATCTTTATTGGTTTCAAAGATATTTGGTCACTCACCTATGTTGTTTCTTGTTAGCATGAGCATTTTCTCGCATAATTATGTGATAGATATCAAGAAGTGTTGGGTTCTAGCATTAAATACATATGTTGCCTCATGTTGAAGAGGTTTTATATTTTGTTTTATATTGAGAAATTGTATGATTTGTTTCATGTTTAAAAGTTTTATGGTTTGTTTTATATTGAGGATATTTTGTGATTTGCTTCATGATTGAGGAGATTTACAAAAGACTTTATATTGAAAGGGTTTTGTGAGTCTTCTTTGGAAAGAGAGGTGTTATAAGATGTTTTATATCGGAAGTTCTTACGAGCATTTACTTTTATGGTTTGAAAGCTTTTTTTGATGAATTTTGTGAATTGTTTTGTATTGAGATTTTGTGTATTTTATGAGTTTTTGTCTTGTGATTGTTTCTTGATGAAAAGCTTTACAGTGCCTATTCATTAAGAGACTTCCACAAGTAATACCCCACTCCAAATGAGAGGAGGCATTTGATTTATGGGTTGTTGGGTAGGATTTTTGTGTCAAAAAAGAGATTTTGGAAGAAGATTTTTGTAGGGTTTTGAGTCAAAACTAAAGGAAGGTTTTAGTAGATAGTTTGTGTAAGATTTTGTGTGGCATTCAATTTAGAGATTTTCCTAAAATCTCTTGAGACTTCTAGTTTGGGAATCCGCTTAGTATAGTAAGATCCCTTAGTAATTTTGTAGAATAAGGTAGTGTTTAGTATGCAAGTTGTCTTGTTGTTGATCCTTATTAATTTGTTAGAAGACAAGTGTTAAAAACAAAAGAAAAGAGATTTTAGTAGATAACTTCTGGGGGGGGGAATTTAGTAGTAATCCATTTGGAAGTTCTTGTAAGTCTTTTTGAGATCTATAGGATGAATTTCGGAGTTTGAAGTATTAGAGAGCTTTAGGTAGGAAGGTCTCTAATGTCCTTATGGGAAGAAAGATAGTTCTTAATTATTTGAATTAAATCCCTTTAATGTGAGTTTCTAAAAGAAGAAACACATAATTTTGGGAGAAAATACTAAGCAAAAGAGACTCTTATTTTGGATTTAGAATTGGGAAGTTGTATCCCCTTAGTCGATATAATATCTGTTTAGAGTGTGTTGTAGGTAGACGTCTCAATCATATCAAGTGCCTCATTTGGAGTGAGAACAGCAAAGGGCATTGTTGATATAATGGGATGCACTCGACTTCTACGGAGTGTATCCAATAACAACAATGCCCACATCCCTTTTTCGTATTTGATTTTCGTTTCTCTTTCTTTCTTTTATATTTAGTCTCATTTTGCTTTGCCGTTAGCTTTCTTTGTCGTTTCTTTTGCGCTTTGACACTACGCACGTACAAGATAAGGAGAACTCAAAATACAAGTAGCTCAACCAGTAACAAAAAGGTACGTTCTTGTTTTTATTGTATCTTTCATTTCTTTATACTGTTATTTGTTTATAGAACTGCTCTAATACCCGTCTTTCTTTTGTGTTGCGAGGTACCTTTTGGAAAGCAATGGACTAGGAGCACTTGGAACTGGAGCTAGGACAACC